GAGGTGGCTTCAGCCAGGCGCGCGTGTCCCATACAACTGTGTGTTGTACTGAGTGAAATGACTGAAAAGGAACTGCTCAGAGTTGTTTCACCTTGGTGAGGAAGTGGTACAGGATCTTATCATTCGAGAGAACAGGATGAGAAGCGACTCGAAGCAGGAAGTTCTCTAGGCCAACCCTGCGTCGCTCCACAAAGTCTGGGTCCATGTTGTCRGCTGACAGCTTGTGCCACACAAACTCTGCCTGCAAAAAAAGGGAAAAACTAGATTTGTCTTCATTTTTTGAACCCTAGCAATCACACAGGTTGGCCCGTCCGATAAGCAATGTAGGAGAATTGATAAGACGTTTGGCCCTCCAGTAGGGCAAGAAAAAGGGGAAGAAAAAGGGTGACTTTCATTTACTTTTTGAAACTAACATGAGAATTCCCACTAATGTATATCAAAGAATWTTAAAAACTAATAATCATGATACTTGGCTTAGCTCCCTCCTCTTCTTCCACTATTTGGTCYGTGGTTTCCTAATATTTTTCCATGAGAGGGCTATTAATTTTTTTGCCAATAAGTCAGTAAAGATTTGGTGGTTCTTTTTTATTCTTAGGTTATTAGGATATAAACCAAAAACAATCTGTTTTGGGGTTAAGGGTACTTGGATTTTTAGAATATTTTGAATCCATTGTTTTACATCTTGCCAAAATTTTTGTATTTCCCTGCACTGCCAAACACTATGATAAAATGTGCCTTTTTCTAATTTACATTTAATRCAAGTATCAGGAATAGCTCTGTTATATATAATAAAATTTTCTGCAGTTATATATGTTCACATCAACCAATTATATTGCAGTAATTTCAAACGAATGTTGGCAGATATTGATTGTGCCTTTGTACATGCCCTCTCCCACTCTTCCATTACAATATCTTCATGTAGGTCCTCTCTCCATGCCTCCAACCTCTCCATAGATGTTTCTGCACTGCCATCAACCAGGTAATTGTATATTTTAGAGATTAAGCCCGCTCCCAAGTGTTTTGTGATCATTAGTTTTTCCAGGATAGACATTGAAGGGACGCATAATGTTTGATTTTGTTGTGTTYTAATAAAACTTCTCAGCTGTAGSTATTTAAATAAATGYTGACRGGGTATTAAATTTATTGGCTATCTCTTMAAAAGTCAATAGTGCTTACTTTGGATTATAAAGATCACTTATTGTCTTCAACCTTTTTGCAGTCCAGAGTTTAAATCCCCTGTCTGTCCTTCCTGGAGTGAAGAAGTCATTTCCCCATATTGGGCTGCAGATAGATAGAGAGGGTGTTTCTCTTAGGTAAGTTTTTACTCAGTGCCACACTGAGATCATACTTTTTCCTTTAGGGTTTTTTCTGAACTTTTTAAAGTTTATAGTATTGGCTGAATACAGGTACATGGGGAGGRGCAGTTTTAACTGGGGTTCCTCCATCTCCCTTAGTGAAATAAAACAGCAATGTTCTTAGCTGTGCTGCCCAATAATACCAGAGTGGGTTAGGACATTTAAGCCCCCCTCTATCAATGGGCAAATACAGTGACAGGCATGTCTGGGAACATCTATTATTCCATAGGAATCTAACAAACAATCTTTCCAGGTTGGTGAACAATTTACGTGGTGGAGGTAGTGGAAGATTGTGAAACATATAATTATTGTTATGATTATGTACTGTATATTATTTCATAGTCTGCCCCTGTCCGCTCTTGTTTTCTGTCCCTCCTGTCATTATCTCATGCAATCAGCTCATTCACATCACCTGCGTCCTCCACTACTTAAGCCAGCCTCTCACCTCTGCTCATTGCCAGATTCTCATCAGCCTTGCCTGTGATTATTCAGCGTTCTGTCCCCATGCCTCGTTCTTGTCCTGTGTCCTCGACCTCATTCATGTCCACTGGTTTTTTTGACTCCTGCCTCAGGTCCTCTTCGTTTTGTCCTGCCATCTGCTCTCACGGTAACGACTAGGCGTGTAAGAAAATATCGATACACTGAAATATCGCGATATTTCATTTCCTGATACTGTATCGATATTCTAAAGCCCTGTATCGATTTTTTATTAAGGTTTAAAATGTCAACTTTCCTGCCAGCTGTTCATTTTTATGTTGTAGTTCAGCCTCTGACCACTAGTTGGCAGCAGTGAGCCAGCCATTTGGCTAAGTGTTGGGTGACCATAATGT